GAATAACCGTCTAATTTTTTGTTTCATGATGAGATTGAGCGATTAGTTTGCGTGATGATTTGCATTATCACTGAAAGCATTAATGCATAAAATTATCGCAGAATACAATCGCTTGATCATCATCAGAAAAAACAAACAAGTGGCCCAGGGGCCCCATTATCGCTCACCTGAGCTACTAGCCAATTAAAAGGGGGGGGGGTTGAACAAATTTATTTTATTTTTATGATTTTATAATGAAGATCAATTATACTAATAGCTTTGTTGTTCTTAAGGAAATTTTAAGAGCATTTTCCTATGTATACTTGCATAAAACCTAGGAATGTCAACTTATGACAGCTCAGGTCAGAGTACTTTATAGCACTGTAAAAACACAAACATCAGTAGAACGTTCTCTGCAGCAACTAAACAGGACTGGGTTGGAAGGGGATGGAGAGTGATGGAATGGCCCGGCTTCCTCAGGCAGGGTCTCCTGTGTCTGCTCAACAACATTACACGTCTTCCTCTTTGCCTCCCTGTGGGTTGCCGAGTCCTTCCTGTTCAGAGGTACGTAGTCAGCCATAGTGAACTTATAAGGATGGTCACTTTTCTGGAGGTAGTGTTCGTCGCATATGGATCAAAGATATTGACAGTAACAAAGTTTCATTATAACAATTATTCGATATAAATAATTTAATAAAATAATCGCCATCCCGATTTTTAATACATTTTTAATTACAAAATTGCGTACCTTACACTTAACTGTTCTGCGTAGTCAATCACTTGTATTTTCAGGACTTGTTTAAAGAATAGGCATGGTATCTTGGATGTCCAAAAAAAAGTTAGAATCTCACAGAGATGTAGAGCGATTTATGCAAACACAAAATTCATAGCACTTAAAAAATGTGTAATAATGTAAACATTCTTTACTAAATGAGCAATCATTAAAACTTTTATATTTTGTTGTGCTGAACATTAAAACAACATGTAATAAAGCAGTATTATGGCATAGATTGTGACTAGATTGAATGGCTGGTACATGTATCATACTGATCTTTCGTGTATCTATAGGATTTTTAGCAACTGTTCAAGAAGCTCTTTCATCTGAGATTCCTTCGATGTTTGTTCTTCAACGTTTTGGTTCTGCGGTTTTTTTTTTGTAGTTGATTATTTTGGTGGAATCGTTCTTTAGTGTATTGGTACTGTTGCCATTCATGGTTCGCTTGCCATTGGGTAATGTGGTGATATTGTTTTCTCTGTTGATAATGACTTTGACTATTTTGGTGATGTTCTCTTTTGTGGTACAGATGATTTTGTGATTCAGGCCTTTGGTGATGGCTTCATACCCAAATGTGGATAAAGGTGTAGTTTTATCATGACGACCAGATTTTTTCTTCGTACATTACTAAAATGCATCCCATCCCTTGTGTAGTTTTGAGGTTCATTTTGATGAAGTTTACACCATTTTCCTCGCATAACTCCCTTAGTTTCCTGTTGGTCTCTGCAACGTTTTGGTTGTATCTCTCAAATATGGGTAAAATGTGAAAGACACAATTTTTTTGATTTTTCATGATCATTTCTTTAAATCTTAGCGAGACTTCTTCTGGGTTTTCGTTCGACAGGCCATTACATCCAACTCCTATGACTAAGTGTTTGGGAGATGTTATATTCTGAATGTGTTCCATTGCTCCCTTACTGTTTTTTTCCCTGCGCCTAGTACTGTTATCCTTAAATCTTTGTTCTTGTACATCCAATTTGCGTCTAGCCATTTTCCATGGGAGTCCATGATGATTTCGATGGGCAGATCTTGTTTGTTTTTTCGTGTTTCACATGGTAAATCTGACCTTGTTTGGTGCATTGCGTCTGATTCTTCAACATCAGGTGAGAGGGCTTCATATCTATTGGCAGTTGGAATTAGACATTTAACATTTGTACTGGTATTCTCATCCAACATCACATCCACTTCTGAATCATTGAATTTCTCTTAAATTTTCTTTTCCTTCCGTGGCTCTTTTTTAAAATATCTTTTTCCTCGGCTTCTTTGAGCCTGCTCATTTCTTCTCCGAGTTCCTTGATTTCATTTTCCTTTTTCTTCATTTCTGCCAGTAAGTGATTTACTTTACTTTCTAGTTCTTTATTTCTATTTTCTTATCACTATGATTTACTTCGTTCTCGGTTCGTTCTCAGAATGGTTTCTTCTAATGTGTTTATTTTTTCTATAATATTGTTATTCAACGTATCAATCTTTTAGTCGAGGGTGCTAAACCTTGAACTAAAACTTGATTCTATGCTTTGTAAGTGATTTGGTGAGTGTTTTGGTAAGCTGGCAGTATTTGGTGAGACGATTCTCGGAGTTGAAAATGCTTTTTCGTTATTACAAATAAATGATTGAAACTGGTCATACTCGGCGGACACATCAAACAATTTTTTTTAATTTTCGTTTCCGAGTTGTCGTTTGTGGACATATTTTCCACAACAGATTTTTAGTGTGGAAATTCGTCACCTACCCAATGGAGGTAGTTGTTTCCCTTCACAGTGATCAAGTGGGTAGAGAAGTATACATTGATAGTGATGATTTTTTTCCATCTCATCGCCTTTATGTCAACAGATGACAATGTCGTGTATCCTGAAGGACACCATTTTTGCGTTTGGTTTGTATAGGTTTTTGTCTATACGTTTTAGTTCAGCATGAGCTGCTTTTCCAGTGGGCAATTTTTGGTGAATCTTGAAATTGATAATGTGCCGTATTTAGGACGGAGTTACAATAGAAAGAGTTCATGATCAAGTCTTGGTCAGCTTTGTTGACTTAACTGAAAACCGACATTTTTGCCGCCGATTTGTACTAATTTTGTTTCGTCGTTTTCTCAATTCTTTTGGCTAATTTGGGTCGTATAGTCGGTTTTTATACGTATAAGTTATTCTATCTTCTCCTACATTTAAGATATTGTCACTGTCATCTTATCAGTTGATTTAACATTTTTGGAGTATTATTTAACACAGATTTTTGGCGCGTTTCTTCTCGGAATTCCCATCCCGAGGGATAGATCGGGATAACCTATCCTGCGGGATAGGTTAATAAAATAATTTCTCTGTCGACATTATGTAGTCTGAACTTCATTGTTGGAAATAACATTTCATTTGGTAATTTTTTTACACGCTACTTGTACAAATCCCCCTCTTCCACAGAAAAACATGTTATAAAATAAAACGTAGTATAAATGAATAAAGAAAGATGTTATTACAAATAAATTGTGTTCAGTAAATTCATCTTCACCATGATTTAAAAGACATTGAGCTTCATGGTCTTTTAGAGATAGATTACCAAGAGAAAGAATTTATGTTATATATATATATATATATATATATATATATATATATATATGTATCATTATTGATTTCTTTGCACTTGATGAATTTAAGCAAACCAGTCAGGCGAGCTTTTGTTATGATTATGTTTTATAAGGGTTTCTAAATGACCAATTATTAATTATGAATATATTTTTTATATAATTGTTTATTTCTTTTTGGTCTTGTTTGACATCTGTAGTTGAAAGTTAATTGTTTTCATTTGATGTTTAGGAAAGGCATTTTTGCTCGTTACCAATATCTAATTCTTGACATCTCATTCCTGCCTCACGATATCAATGTCATTTACTCATACTTGTTATCAACTTTATGGTTAGATCTTAGGATCGTGTTTTTTGAATTTGTTATGCTTTGTCCTACCTAATTTCAGTGTTGTAAATTTATGTCATACAGATTCCCACTGTTCTTGCAATTTTCTATCCTTAATTTAATTGGCTGGTCAGTGGGCGAAGTTGTATAAGATTAGATGTGAGTGAGTTTGTTTGCGAGTCAATTTTGGACAATTCTTTGTTAAACTCAATTTGTGAAATTTTAGGAAATTTTTTTGTTAAATTCAGTTGTTTGTGAAATTCATATTTCTGGACTTACAATAAATTCTAAACTTTAAACCTGACTTATCAATTGACAATTTATTACATGGTGGAGAATCTAAAAATTTTCATTAGTGATTTTGAACTAAACTCTGGATAAACTGAATTCACTTTTTCTGGGTATTCGGACTATATAAACTTACGAAAATGTATAGACCAGAAAAGTACGTGTCTCCAGCACCAACAGATATCCACTCAACAGAAGGAAACAGGGATGATTGGGAGGAAATTGTGCAAGAACAAACTCTGGTGCAACCAAAATTTTATTGCTCCTCGTAGAGGGTGAAAACTGTAACAAACAATGACAATGTGTTACAATAAGCTCAAGATTCAAGACAGAAATATAACAGCTGACACATATCAGATAGACTGACAATCCAAAATTTACACTATGCCATTTTCCAAGATTAAATGAAAAACTCAGTTTTACACAGTAGAAATTTAACAGACTTAACAGCTTACATCTGCTCTTCTTTAAGTTAAAGCTAGATTGTATTTATATACTTAATATAGCATAATTCATTAGCATTCCTAAGATATAACATACATCATAGGATAATCCATATTTTACGATAGGCCTACCTAGCCACAAACTTGTTAGCATTTCAAAAATATAAGAAAATACAAGTTAAATGCAGAAAATATCGAAGCTAAATGGTAATACAATGGTGCCGCTTAATGCATACATAATTATAACAATGATTACTTACTCCTATGGTGTTCTATGGCACAAAACACTTGAATTTAACAATGCACTTGTAAGTACATGGAAGTACGTGATTTACAGTAAAAGTAAAACCGGAGAATGTAAATTTCCGGGAAGTAGCACTACACTCCCCTCCTGATTTTCTAGAAAATCACCATCTTATTAATCTACCATAGGTGTAAATGAAAATTTACAAAATAGTTTCTACAATGTGAACTAAACCACATAATTAAATGACAATACCCTGTCAAATAAACAAACAATGCAAAATATTATCATACAATGAAGTAAATTCTGATATCAACACATTAATCTGATGCAAAATAAATTTGTACAAATACTGAGTTCTGTGTTTCAATGTGTCACTTTACTTCAATCAGATGGATCAGTTGAGATATTGGTCTCACATAGGGTGTTCGTTTACCATCCCGTATCACAACAACTTTCACTTTGCGAACGAAACTGTCATCACTGGGAAATGTCTCTTCAATGATACCAAGCGGCCATCGGTTCCTTGACAGAACACTCTCCTTCATGAGAACTATGTCCCCAACACTGAATGTTACACCTCCTGATTCCCACTTCTGTCGCTTCTGAAGATTTTGTAAGTAATCTGAACTCCATCGGGTCCAGAACTCATCCGCAAGATGCTGAACAAACTTCCATTGGCTTTTCAATGCGTCCTTAAGCTCAAACTCTGGTAGTTGAGGGTCCCATGATGACGGTTTTTGAGTAAGTAACAGCGAAGGTGAGAGAACTTCAGGTTCCTCTGGGTCTGATGAAACCGGCACCAATGGACGTGCATTCAAGATGGCACATACCTCTAGCATAAGTGTTGACAATACTTCATGGGTAAGGTCATGTTTGTTTTGTAGTAGCATGGCATCCAAGATCTTCCGGCACGCACCAATCATTCTCTCCCATGCACCACCGAAGTGAGATGCATGGGGAGGGTTGAACAACCAAGAAGCTCCATTCTCAGCTAAGTACTGTCCGACTTCTCCAGATTCTACAAAATGGGCGTCAATGTTAAGTTCCTTTGCCGCACCCACAAAGTTTGTGCCTCTATCAGACCGATACTGCTTCACTGGCCCCCGGACAGCTACAAATCTCCTCAATGCGTTTATAAATGAAGAGCTACTGAGTTCCTCCACAAGTTCTACATGTACCGCTCTTGAGACCAAACAAGTGAACATGATGGCCCATCGATTTTGATTGCTTTGGCCACCCCTCGTTCTGCGGAAGACTATAGGCCATGGACCGAATGTGTCAATTCCTACGAAAGTGAAGGGAGGGCCTGGTTCCATCCTGTCAATGGGAAGATCTGCCATCTGACACCAACCAGTCTGTCCTCTGAGCTTCTTACAAGTTACGCAATCCCGTATGACAGTGGAGACGAGTCTCTTCCCTCCTATAATCCAATATCCTGCTGACCTAATTGCCCCTTCTGTGAGATGACGTCCTTGATGGTGTATGGAAGCATGGTAGTGACGAACAAGTAGAAGTGCAATCTGGTGTCCCTTTGGAATTATTTTAGGGTGACAGGTGATGGCCTTTGTGTAGTCATTCTGTTTTTTACCTCTCATCCTTTGAATCCGCCCTCCTACACGTAATACTCCATGTTCATCTAAGATTGGTTTCAACGGAAGTGGTGGGCTTCTCCCCTCCGTGATTGCCGCAATCTCTTCTGGAAATATCATGCTCTGAACCTTTCTGATGATGACAATCTCAGCCATTGAGACAGATACTTCAGTCTTAGATTTCTTGTACTTTCTCGCAAGTCTCTTTACGTTCATGACTGCTCTTACTAAATGTTTCCAACTTGAAAACCTTGAGAACCTCTCCCAATCTAAAGTCTGTTCTACCGTAGTCTTCATGCACATTACATCTTCCTTCTTCACTTCTTTGTCCTCTTCTGTATCAATGAGAGGAAACCCTTCAGATCTGTTCTCTGAGTCTTCATCACTAACATGATCCTCTTTAAGAAAAGAAGGTCCATGAATCCACATGCTATACGGTAAATCACTAGCATGAAACTCTCGAGTTGCCAAGTCCGCTGGGTTACAGTCAGTCGGAATATGGTTCCACTGGCAAGGTTTACTGAAGGATCGAATTCTACCAACTCTGTTAGCTACGTACACATGAAAACGTCTACTGTCATTTGAAATATACCCTAAGACGATGCGACTGTCCGTGTAGAAATGAAAGGCTTCTCTGTCAATGTCCATTTGCTCATTGATGGTTTCCGCTAGATCTACTGCCATGACTGCAGCGCAGAGCTCAAGGCGAGGTATGGTATGGCCGTGTACTGGGACTACCTTTCCTTTTCCCAATAGGAATCCCGAATCATGTGAACCACTTTCAGTGAAGACTTTAAGGTATGCTACGGCAGCTATAGCTTCTTTGGACGCATCTGAACAGATGTGAACTTCACACTTGGAGGAAAAAGTAACAGATAACTTGCAATACATCCTAGGAATCTTTAGTAGCTCAAGCTGTTGAAGTGAGATGACCCAGTCTTGCCAACGCCTTTGGAAAGTAGGCTGCAAGGGTTCGTCCCAATCTAACGGGCCCGAGAAGGATGACATCATTTCTCGAAGAAGGAGTTTGCCTTGGAGTGTAACTGGTGCTGTGAATCCCAACGGGTCATAAAGACTGTTAATTACGGACAAGACTCCTCGACGGGTGAATGGTCTTTGGTCAGTAGATACACGGAACACAATGTTGTCTGATTCAATGTCCCAAGACACACCAAGACTCCTCTGCACTGGAAGAGTATCCTGTCCTAAGTCTAAATCTTTGAGATCCTTTGCCAGATCATCTGAGTCACACATCTGCAGAACAGCCTTTGAGTTAGAGGCTACCTTGTGGAGTCTAAGATGCCCACCACTCATCAGGGATTCTTGAGTTCTCTTGAACAGGTTCACGGCTTCTATCTCCGAAGGACAACTGATGAGCCCATCATCCACGTAGAAGTTCCGGTTAACAAAACTTCTGACGTCATCATCTGCATTGGTGACTGATTTGCGGAGTCCGTACGTGGCAACGGCAGGAGACGGACTGTTGCCAAAGACGTGCACCGTCATCCTGTAATCAGTTAGGGGTTTTTCTACATTGTTTTCCTCATGCCATATGAATCTCAGATAGTCTCTGTGTGGCTCACAAACCCTGAAATTATGGAACATCTGTTCTACATCGGCAGTTATTGCAATTTTATCCTTTCGAAAGCGCATTAAGATTCCCTGGAGACTGTTTGAGCTATCAGGCCCCTTGAGTAACACGTCATTGAGAGCCACCCCTTCATGTTTTGCTGACGAATCAAAAACCATTCTGATAGCTTCTGGTTTCTTGGGGTGGTATACCCCGAACATGGGTAAGTACCATCTCTCATTTCCTGCAGGTAAGTGTGGAGCTAATTCTGCATGACCTCTATCAAATATCTTTCTCATGAATTCTTGGACATGCTCACGCTTGAGAGGGTTACGAAGAAGACCGAGATCCAAGGTCTTGGCTCTCCTCAAGGCATGGTCTCTGTTGTCCGGTAGACGAGGTCTGTCCTCTCTGAAAGGAAGAGGAGCAGTCCAGTGGCCATCTGTATCTTTCTTGAAGCCTGAATCCATGATCTGTAAGAATGCTTTGTCTTCAATAGACAGTCCGAGCTTCTCGTCCTGGCTCGTTCTCAAAAACGGGTCTTCCTTTAAGCTTAACTTGCTCTCACAAGGCTCCAATAGTGATGGTCTCCCGTTTGGTAGGATGAAGGTCTTCTTCACATTCACAGAGTCAGTAAGGTGTGCGTTACCAAGGCATACGGGACCTAGGATAACCCATCCTAAAGGTAATCTTTGTGCGTAAGGTGAATGGTCGACGCTGATCCGCTGATCAAGCACATGATGCGCCATGATAAGGTCTCGGCCAATCAAAAGTTCTATCTCTACATCTTCATTCACTGGTAAAATGAAAGGTGCAATATCATGTAGATATTGATATTGTAACGCAACTTCTGGGGATGGGATCTCATCCCTATTGTTAGGTATGTCAGAACACTCAACCAGAGTAGGGAGTTTCAAGACAGTGGATCCATCCAATGATTCGACAATGTAACCTGTTCCCCTTCTTCCTGATGTCATTTTGCGGCCAGCACAGGAAATAATACAATAGTCATAAACAGGCCTATTATCCTGGAATGAGTCAAGGAAGGTAGGTGTAGCTAAGGAATGGTCACTTTGGTCATCGATCACAGCGTAGATAAGACGTGATTGGTCTTGATGTCCCTCTGGATACACTTTGACAGAAAGTATCTTAGCACACGATTTACTCTTGCCGTTTGTAGTCTTACAGACTTGGGTGCATGCTGATATCACTTCCTTTATTTGCTGATATCACTTCCTTCATTTACCAAAAATGTGTTTCGTTACGGAGGTTATTGTGAATATTTACAAACCGAATTTTAGACTTCCTATTGGCTTTACAAACTTATGTCGCTCAGCATTACTAAGGGCCAATCAACTTAGTCAAATAATTATTAATATATTGTTTTTTTTTAACTGCAAATGTGAAAGTGAAGATTTAAACTTCTATAACCTCCGTTACAAAATATACAACCTTCGTTTCGAAGAATCGGTGTGAATGCGTCTACTTATTGTGAATTTAAATAAAAAACAATTAGAAAACAATATTTATTTGAAAAAAAAGGATAAAAAATATTTGTTTTAACGTTTTTAGGCAAATACATTTAAAACAAATAATTTTAACCTCCGTTACGAAATACCTTACTGAAACTTGTAATAATGAAGTGATATATTGAATCATTGTTAAGTGACTGTCATACATCAACAAAATATTTAAGAAAACTTACTTTACATCATAATATATGAAAAATTCACTTAAAAACACAAAAATCCTTTTTTTGCACAAAAACCCAACCTCCGTAACATCGCTGGTTTTACGTATAAACGAGTATAATTTCCCTGTACACCGCTAATAGTTCACATAAGGGTGACCTTTTTGTGCCCATACGCATTACGGAATTCTAGACATTTACAAAACGAAAAAAATTTTTATTTGTAATATGCAAAAACATCTACGTAAAGGTCATTTTAACCATAATATTTTCAAAAATACCTTTATTTTATGCTTTAAACGCATTATGATTTTCATATTCCATTTTGTTGTCAACTTAAAGAGTAAACTTCCAGCATTATCTGGTAGATTAAAACACCTGAAATGTTGCACACGTCAGATTTTGTTGATTTTCTGTTGTGTAGGTTAGAGGTTACGGAGGTTAGAACCATTTATAATTTCTTTATTTCTATATTGTTGTTTATCTTTCCTTACATTTGCTTTTTGTTTACTAGACATGCCCATTGGTGTCAATCAACTGCCTTGAAATAGTACTTCACATAGCCTCTGTTTCTTCACAATCACTGTCACGTAGGTTACGTTCTTATATGCGGCATTATAAAAAATCCATATTTTTAAAAATTTTGAACACGGTTTTATTGATTTGACTTAAAAAAGATTCTGTGCTAAAATTTTAATATATATTAGACACAAAAACACAGTTTTGGCTGTACTAACGATATATTGTATTATCTTAACAAGAGGCCCCTGGGCCTTATAGGTCACCTGAGCATTATTCAACAACTTCTCAGTGACTGAATTTGATCCATGTTTTAAGCCAGATGCTATAGCATTTACAATCTGGTCATCATAACTATACACTTAGCAGTTCCTTAGTTTGGTTACTTTATACCCATAGGCAGGGTAGGGGAACAAAAAATGCATTTCAACTAATCAGTAATATTCAGCAATAATCAGTAGTGCCGCTACCACACATGAACCCTTGACTCTTAGGCCTAGATCCACACATTGCACTATTTTTGGAAAGGCATACTTGCTTTTCAAAAATATTTGATTAATACCAAGGAGCACATTTCAAACAATCCATTCATTTTCAGTACATAAGTACAGCCTCCCCCCCCCACAATGGTACAACTGACCCTGGGGCCTTGAAATTTACAATTCTTGAAGATTAGGGATTGCTCATAACTATATAGGTAATTCATCTGCTTAAAACCTAGGAGCAAAGAAGAAAATATTCAAAAATTTAATGTTTTTTCACTATACATGTATAATCAATACAGCCCCGCCCTAACACCAGAATCCCTGACCCTGGGGCCATAAAGTTCACAATTTTGGCAGAGGCACTCTTGTTCATCATAACTATGTACTTAGTTAGTTTATATAATACCCAGGAGTAAAGAAGAAGATTTTCAAAGAATTCATGTATTTCCTCTATATAATCAATAGAGCCCCGCCCTGACACCAGAACCCCTGACCCTGGGGCCATAAAATTCACAATTTTGGTAGTCGCACTCTTGCTCATCATAACTATGTACTTAGTTAGTTTATATAAAACCTAGGAGCAGAGAAGAAGATTTTCAAAGAATTCATGTATTTTCACTATATAATCAATAGAGCCCCGCCCTAAAACCAGAACCCCTGACCCTGGGGCCATAAAATTCACAATTTTGGTAGAGGCACTCTTGCTCATCATAACTATGTACTTAGTTAAATTATATAAAATCTAGGAGCAGAGAAGATTTTCAAAGAATTCATGTATTTTCACTACATAATCAATAGAGCCCCGCCCTAAAACCAGAACCCCTGACCCTGGGGCCATAAAATTCACAATTTTGGTAGTCGCACTCTTGCTCATCATAACTATGTACTTAGTTAGTTTATATAAAACCTAGGAGCAGAGAAGAAGATTTTCAAAGAATTCATGTATTTTCACTATATAATCAATAGAGCCCCGCCCTAAAACCAGAACCCCTGACCCTGGGGCCATAAAATTCACAATTTTGGTAGAGGCACTCTTGCTCATCATAACTATGTACTTAGTTAGTTTATTTAATACCCAGGAGCAGAGAAGAAGATTTTCAAAGAAATAATGCATTTTCAATATATACTTATTTAGCCCAGCCCTAGTACAAGAACCCCTGACCCCTGGGCCATGAATTTCACAATTTTGGTAAAGGACTCAATGCTGATTACAATCATGCAAACAGTTTGACTGCTTGATGTCCAGGAGTAAAGAAGAAGATTTTTGAAGATTGCATTAATTTTAGTGGTTTTGGCCCCACCCCCCAGGCCCCAGGGGGGCAGGGATCATGAAATTCACAATTTTTGTTCCCCTTCACCCATAGATGCTTTGTGCCAAATTTGGTTGAAATTGGTTCAGTGGTTGCAGAGAAGAAGCTGAAAATGTTCAAAAGTTTACGACCGATTGACGACGAACGACGAACGACGTACGACGAACGACGGACGACGACGGACAAAAACAGATAGCAATAGGTCACCTGAGTGACTCAGGTGACCTAAAAAAATATTCAAACACTGTTAGGGTAGGTTAGGTGAAATTTGAAACAGCGATGATCAAAGGTTTGTTTAAAATTCGTTATTCATTTATCAATGAAAGTTTCATTTATATTTATATTTACTTTTCAAGGGATACGACGGACAATTCATTTTCAATCACCTGGTACATTCCGCCCCCCTGAAACCTAACGTCATCATGAACGACAGTAAGATCTTGTACATGGAAATTTGCGGACTGAAATTCATCGACTCGTATAATTTCTTACCGTTTGCTTTGGCCAAGATGCCCTCCGCTTTCGGATTCAACGAATTGAGAAAGGCTATTTCCCTCACTTTTTTTAATACGGAACAGAACCAGAATTACGTGGGGCCTTATCCACTGGCAGATAAATACAAACCGGATGAAATGTCTACCAATGGACGACAGGCTTTTTTCCAATGGTACGACCAACAGAGGGGAAAAGTGTTTGATTTCCAGAAGGAGTTTGTAAAGTATTGTATCTCGGACGTCGACATTTTACGACGATGCTGTGCACAGTTTAGAACCACCCTCAAGACTTTGGTCAAAGTGGACCCTTTCCAGGAATCCATCACGTTTCCCAGTGCTGTAATTTAGCCTACCGTCGACAATTCATGCCTAAAGACACCATTGCCATCATTCCGAACCTCGGGTATCAACCGGCACGACAATATTCGGCCAAAGCCTGTCGGTGGCTCACCTGGATCAGTCAGCAGACCGAATGTCACATACGCCATGCCAGAAACTGGGGCGAAGTCAAGATCGGAAATTATACCGTCGACGTATACCAGGAAGCGACTCGTACCGTCTACGAATTTTACGGGTGTTATTGGCAAGGATGCCCCACCATTTCAATCCGTGGATGTGTCTTCCATTGGACACAGGCATTATGAAGACGCTTGCAGGAACTTGGAATTACTGCCACAAAGACAACTCACTTGTTCATCAAGCAGTTAATGGCACTTCAAATTCTGCCTTCAAATGACATCAACCCCACATTCCAGGCAATGCGAGAAAACTTTCAGGAATCTTCCTCTGTAAAGTCTCTCAAGAATGCATGGAAAGATAGTGGGTTAACAACGCTGTATTTCCTATACCAGCCTGGTCAATCTACAAGCAGGAGATTCGTACCAACAACGATACCGAAGGTAATTTTTTTTTTCATTCGAGCCTTCAATACTTACCGGTAACCTGCTCTCCCTTTAACATTAGTGACTTGCCTTTTCTTTAACCAGAAGTCTCTGTCGAGACTGAAGCTCTACTGGTTTGTACTTATAGCAAAGGAAGAGAAAAGTACTTCAGCAGTTGGGAATTGAAACTTAACAACAGCAATAGAAAGAATAATGATCCTTGATAAAGTCTCTTTATGTTCTTAGTGTAGTCTACAAGTTTGCGAAGTTATATTGAAATCAGACCAAAACTGTAGGAGGAGTAGCATTTTAAAGGAATTTCGCAGAAATTTCTATTTTTAGTTACCACGGCAAAACCGTTTACTGAAATCAAAAGCTGATAAAGAGAATTATGTAGCTTAGTGTAGTCTACTTGTGTGCCAAGTTATATTGAAATCAGACCAAAACTGTAGGAGGAGTAGCATTTTGAAAGAATTTCACAGAAATGTCTATTTTTAGTAACCACAGCAACAACGTTCATCGAAATCAAAAACAGATAGAGAAAATTATGTATCTTAGTGTAGTTTACTTGTGTGCCAAGTTATATTGAAATCAGACC